GACATTTAATTCTTGTTTTTCTGTGTCTCACTTATGGTAAATTTCTTTTAATATAAGAGATTATTTGGTTGGCTGGTGTTGGTTTTTTTTTTTTTTTTTTTTTTGGAAAGGTAGATTTGTAGAGAGACGGAGATTCAGAAAGAAAGCTCTTTCATCCACTGGTTACTCCCCCAGTGGCCACAGCAGCCAGAGCTGAGCTGATCCAAAGTCAGGAGCCAAGAGCATTTTCTATATCTCTCATGTGGGTATAGGGTCCCAGGGTATTGGACTATCCTCCACTGCCTTCCCAGGCCACAGACAGAAAGCTGGATTGAAAGTTAAGCAGCTGGGACATAAACTGGCACCCATATGGGATACTGGTGCTTGTAGAAGGTTAGCCAGTTGAGCCATTGCACCAGCCCCTGGTCTTGGCTTTGATAGGTCTTTTCAGGCACCTGGGTGATGCTGCCAGCTAAGAAATCTACCAAATACAGAATGCAATCTACCAGTGGGGAAACACTATTCGCTCAGTGGGCTGAGGTGGTATAGGTGGTGTTCATCCAAACCTGGTGTCCTGTGAGGGCAGGCATGGCATCACAGCTGTTTCCCAACCTGAACTGGCCCCAGGCAGGCAAGTTTCACAGTAGTGCTGGTCATGGCAACCACATTGTTTTCTGTGAGTTTTCACAGTGAGTGTGCAGCACCATTATGTCCCTGCTTCGTGTCGAGGGCATGGTTTTGTTGTCCCACTTGGAGCCAGTTTCCTAATGCCCTGTCTCCTCAGCTGTTGGGGCTTCTGACACTGGCAGGTGTCCCCAGACATCCCTACCTGGAACATTCCCTTCCATTTCAGGTTTAAGTGATCTCTTCATTCACGGGTTCTTGGCCTTTTGGCCTTTCCCTGATTTCTTAAGTGTTGAGCAGAACAAGTGAAGGACAGTATGAAACTGAATATTCATCATTTTCAGTGTTTGTAAGTAGATTTTTGCAGGCATTAGTTCACCACAGTGTCAGTGGTAGGACCACAGAAAGAGGAACAGTTTGGTTGTTCTGAAACTTCAGTATGAGGACTCCAGAAAGTACATTCTTGAATAGGCTGAAGCAGTTCCTTTGGACAAGCCAGGAGCATGATCAGACATGTAGGAGTAGAGGAACATGTGAAGCAGTGACATGAGTGTTGGAGTGTTTGGGTGCCCTTGTCCAGGGTAAGCTCTGGTTTGCCCGTTATTGGGCCCCATTGAGTCACTGCAACGCTGGCCAGATGCAGGGAAGGCACAGACTGGGCCTGGAGTACATGCGACACAGCAAACAATAGGATTTCTGTCTCAGGTGACTCAGAATGTGTTGTACATGCAGTGCCCAGCCATGCTGCCCCAGAGCCTCAGCCTCCTTGGCCACCCTGCTGTTCTCTAGTGGCTGGGAACCACGGGTCTGGGAGAGAGCTGGTAGAAGACGCACACAGTTCACAGTCCAAAAAGTGCATGGCTGTGCTGGAGAAGGGACACAGAATCGCCCAAGCGACTGGAAAGGAGAATGCTGGGATAGTTTGCTTTCTCCTCTGGGATTTAAATTCCTCATGTTTGTACCTGCAGGCCACACAACTCTGCTTCTGATAGAAACTGAAACATAACCATGGTGTTTTCAGAAAAATTCATGTACAGTTCACATTATAAGAAAATTGTGTTTGGATTTTAAGAAAATTTTTATACCAATGTGATCCTGTCTTTGGTATTTATTTTATGAGGCAGATAGAATGCCCATGCAGTGGTTCACTCTCCAAATGGCCACAGTGGCTGGGGCTGGGTTGTCAGAGCTTGACACCTGGAATACAATTTAGATCTCCCATGTGGGTGACAGGGATCCAGTCATCTGAGCTATCACTTGTTACTTCCCAAGGTGTACATCAGGAAGAAGCTGAATTCAGGAGCTGGAACTGGCAATTAACCCAGGTACTCCAGAGTAAGGTTTGAGCATCTTAGCCACTCATCCTCATAATCACTCCAAAACTGTCTTTTAATTTAATTTAATTCTTCCATGAACTCTTTGAAGTTTGTCTTCTCCAAGAATTCAGTCCAGGCTTCCTTCTGACTTGGATCTTTTACTCAGCTTCAGTCCAGTACAACATCTCCTAAACTTTTTCTTTGTCAGTTCACTTTTTAAAAAGTTGGCAGACAATCTTCTAAAATTGCTAGAGTCTTGTGAGAAAGCCTTGTCACCACTCCTGACAACCTGGGAAAGCCAAAGCTAGAGTTTGGGGTTGGAGACAACAACTCAGATGGTAGCGGTTGTTGGCATAATACCCTGTGCAGGACTTGAATAGGAAGATGACTTATTTTTAATGACTTAAAACAGACAAAGGGAGTTCCGCCGTGATTCGTCAGGACTGACTGAGAGTGTGGAGCCACAAAGCTTTGTTAGTGTCTTCCTAGTGAGTTCTGTCAGGAAGTGGCTCCCCTTTACTCCAGAGGGTCATGTCATCCCTGGATTTAGCAAGAATCCCTTTGTTCCTGGGTAAAGAAGCAGTGGCCTGCCCTGTGCTCATCCTGCCATAAGGACAGTAGGCCTCTCTGTGCTCTTGCCATCAGCTTGCCTGGAAGGCCAGGCTGGACACCACCATGGTCCAGGACATGCCTGCCCTAAGGCAGTGGCTGATGCTTCCCAGATGTTGGGCCTGTGGTCGCTGCCTCCCTCCTGACTTGATTCTGCTGCCCCTCTGCTGCTTAAGACACCAGCTGCTAGGACAGGGCCCTAAGATGGGCTGATGGGTCTCCTTAGAGAGGCAGGACAGCTGGTGGCCGGGCACCAGCTGGTCGGGAGGCGGACTCTGGGCTGGCAGCAGGCTGTGGCTTCGGCATCATTCCGCAGTGCTTGTTCATTCCAGCGCCCAGCGCTCAGTGCTGGGAAGGTGATGAATACATATTTGTTGATGGGCTGCTGAATGAATTACAACATTATTTATTTCATCTGAAACATGACAAAGAACCCAAATATCTGTCAATATGGAGTGGTGTGTCTGCAGAGAAATCCCGGGCAGCCATTAAAAAGAGCAAGATGTGTGTGTCTGTATTGACAAGTGGGAAAACAGTTTGTACAACAATCGTGATCATAAAAACCTATGTATATACACACAGGTCAGACAGGTGCACACCAGACATTCGTTCCAGACAGCAGCCTATCAAAAGTGGTTGTGAGAGGGACGAGTATACCAGAAGACTCACCATGCTTGTTGTGTAATTCTGTGATGTCAGAGTTTTTCACAGTGTACATTATATTTGAGATCAGCAAAAATTAAAATTTAAAAAAATACATTTCAAAGCAATCATAATGTTGACAAAAAGAAAAGTTTCGATTCTAATACTAGGATCTATAGAATCATTATAAGAACTCCAAGGGGGAAAAAAAGTTTCTGCTAACATTCTTTCTTCCACCTGGTACTGTCCAGGTCTCCTGGAAGCCAAAGAAAGAAAAGGGTTGGCGTCAGTGAGCACACAGCACACTCCCTTTTGTTACCTCTGCGAAACACAGACTGTCTCCACATGGCTTAGCTAACTCTTTGAGAAACACCAAATGCCTAAGAAATGGACTTTGTAATCAGTGATTAAGCTTTTCTGTAAAAATACCTGGTTTCTAAGGGAAAAAAGTCCCCAGCAATGCTCCCTGGTGTGGTGGTCACCTTTGTGCAGGCCATTTTTTCCAAGGTTTTAGCTCTGGATATTTTTCTCCTTGCAGCATACCCATACACTCTGTGAGTGAGTCAAGTGGCTGCAGGTTGAGACTCGCCCAACTAGGGCAATAAAGAGAAAAATTAGTCTAATGCATGGTCTTAACAAGAGCGAGAGTGTGAGCATGAATAATTAATCTTGCTAGTCTGTGGCAATCAGACAAAATGAAGTCCCATTTGCTCAACCTTATTAAAAGAGAGAGAGTGGGGAGGTGGAGGGAGGAGCAGTAAAGGTCGTTAAGGGACTTGAACCATGGAAAGAGCCGCCTTGGAGATGCGAATGTGTTTTCCAGTCTCTGTGGTCTTTAACTAAACCAAGTGCTGAAGGTGCTCTTCAGATGGCTCCGACTCCCTGAATTATTAACCATTTCAGAAGACTCAAGACTATGAACTTAAATGTCTTTGTGATGAATGTGCAGAAAGTCTTTGCAGCAAGGGATTCCGTCTCCTAAATCACTGAGAAGCAAGGCAGCCGTTGGTCAAGAGAACCCTTCTAGAAAAAGTGCAGATGCGTGCACTGACTCAGGATCAGGGTGGAGTTTGGTGTTCACCACGGACGTGTTGATTTAAGGCCTGCTGTCCTGCTAATAAAGCTGATGTATTTTAAAAACAAAATGCTGAACACTGATAAGCAAGTGTGGAATATTACTTTTACTATAGATTGTGAGGTTACTTCCAGGACCCAATTTTTTTACTTCCAGGACCCAATTTTATATTATATGCTAAAAATGGAAGGTTTTATTATTCTTATACTTATGCTAAGTAAATTAGAATTATCTTGTGCTGGATATTTTAGAATTATTAAAGTTTTCTTTGAGTTTCTGGCTTCATAGCTTAAAAAGGCATTTTAAGTTTTGAATTTGCTCTTTTAGATGCTATCAGCAAAAGTTAATCCCAGTAATGTGTTGAATATTAGAAATTTCCAAAGATTCACTTGGTTGAAATACAGGTGAACAATGAGGTTGATAGTTTTCAAGGTGGAGATTACTAAATATATTACCTTTCCTTTTTTTAAAAAATTTCATTTCATTTTATGACACAGTTTCATAGGCTCTGGGATTCCCCCAACTCCTCCCCATGCCCTCCCCCCATAGTGGATTCCTCCACCTTGTTGCAGTATTACAGTTCAAATCCAGTCATGATTCTTTCATTGCAAGCATGTACCATGCATAGAGTTCAGCATCTTATTGTCCAGATAAACTCAACGGTTTCTTGGGGAGACCATCTGATGGGATCAGTCCCCTGGGCGATGGTGAAATGAGCAGAGTGCACCCACATGTTTGGTTTTGTCCTCTCTCAGATCCTGGTGTACAGCCTGGAAGCAGAACGCTGCCTCTCGAAGCTGGGCAATGCCCTCGGGGACTTCACGTGCGTCAACCTCAGGGATAGCCCTCCCAACCTCATGGTCAGCGGCAACATGGACAGGAGGTAGGTGTGAGTTGAAAGGCAGAGTTCCGTCACCTCCACACCTTGTGCTGAAGGCTGGGCACTGGCTGCTGCTGCCTGCTCACGCCCCTGGCTCTCGCTGTCCAGGTCCTCCCACCTGAGTTCAGCCCTGACTCCCTCACCACTCCAACTTGGAGAACAGAGTCTCACATTAGGTAATAGTTGGCTCTAGCTGAGTGCCTGCTTCATTTGCGAAGCCCTCCCCCACCCCCCCAGGAAGACTTCTTGTGAGCCAGTTGGTGGACACAGTTGGTGGACGGTCCTGAGAGACCACTTGAATTTTCTCTCATCCCCCTTTGCAAAATTTGCTTGGCGTTTAAAAGCTCACTTTCTAATATTAAAAACAATAACCTAGGGGATGAATCATGTTCTGCAAAATAGGCCTGCATGCCAAGTGATGTCAGGAGTGTATTTCAGAGCACCATGGCGTCCCTCTGGTGTGGGGGAGAGAGACTCGATGCGAGCAGGTTCCAGTTTCTATTTAGCTGATTAGCAGGCTTCTCTTGAACACCCTGGCTCAGGGAGTTGGATTTTCCCTGAACAGGATCTGGTGCCAGCCACGGACGCTCCAGGAACCATCAGCACGAAAGGATTAAAGTGTTTGAAAAGACCTGCAGAATCCAAATTGTAGGTTGTTCCTCCTCACCGCCCCCTCTCCTCCTTGCCTTTTCCTTTCTCTCTCTTTTTTTCTGGCTGTTTGCTGTGTCTGATCCATGCCCTGAAGAGAAGTAGCATGGCTGGAGGCCAGGGGCTGCCGGCTCCCACTCCCCTGGGCCCGGCCCCGGGCTGCAGGTGGTGGCTGCTCAGCAGTGGGTATCACATTGCGAGGCAGGAACTCCTGCGTGCCAAATCCCGGACCACCACCCTGCCAGTGCAGCAGCTTGCAAAAATAGTTATTTTTATCAAATAATATTTTTAACTCCTGACCTTAGCCCCTCTAGCTGCCCACTGCTTACCCCACCCAGAGCAAAAAGATAATGGAACTGTGCTTTGCTGGGGGAGAAAAAGCCCTTCAGTGACTGAGCCTCTGCTGCGTATGTGCCTGCAGGCCTGCTCCATGGCCCCTTGTGTTTGAGCAAGTGGCTTACTTTTTGCCCAGTTTTCAGACTGTGCTCTACCCTGCTCCCAGCTTGTCTGACAAATTCTCCACACCTTGCAGAGCTGGCAGTGCCTTGCTTTCCTGGGGACATCCCTATGGAAGCACTGGGATTGCAGGTTGAGCCCCAGGACATGTCTGCAGCCAGAGTGGTGCTCTACCACAGGCCAGCTCCTGGAGAGGAGAGCTCAGCTCCTGCTCGCGGCAGCAGCCAGCCCTGTTAGAAAGGCGCGGTCACTGACAGCTGTTGACTGTGCCGCCACCAGTACTGGGTCCAGGATTCTCAGGAAGGTCCCAGAGACTGCAATTAAACAGTGTTTATTTTGGTGAAAATATTTTTGAAACCCATGTATATAAGGAATCTTCAAGAGGTCATGGGAAATGTATTTATGAAAAGAACTATGCATGGGTTTAAAAAAGAAAATTGTGCCAAAACACACTCTTAATTCTATTTTTCAGTACCTTGTACCCCCAGGAAGGCTGACTTTCTCCCCTGCAGCACAGCTGCCTACTCATGCAGCCATTGCCAGACGAGCCAAAGGCCCCGTGCGCAAGGCCTCTTGAGGCAACGTGGAATACCCCTGTGACCATGGCAGTCTGTGTGGCCTGTAAGCTGGCCATGCTTTGCACAAAGCCCTCTGGCTGGCTGAAAAGAACAGACCAGTGTCTTAGCACGGGGGGTGGCGTTTACCCTGGTGCCATATGCCAGCTGGGGGACTGCTGCAGGCAGGGACACAGGCCAGCCCTCACGTAGAAAAACATGCCTGTGAATTAGCAGTATGCTTTTGAAAATCAAGGGTTAAAGATCTGTTAGTTTTCTAACGAAAGTCATACATCTGGAAAAAGGAAGGCATAAAGAATCTGGACTTTGAGATGTGGTGGAGGGAAGTCTTGTCTTTCTCCCCAAAGGCTTACTAGCTGTGAGTGAAGTCTCATAGGAGATGCCCCCTGGCTTGCACAGCTCAGATTTCCAAAGTGGGAGTGAGGGGTCAAAGCCTGGGAAGACAGCTGTGTCCTTGGCTGTCACTCGGTGACTGATGCAATTTTTTTAAAAAATCTTGGAACCTCCCTCTGATTTAAAAATGTTATTTCCACTTCATTCTCTCAGTGCTTATAAATAACATGAGAATGAAACAGAGTCTGAAGATACATAAAACTGTCCCAAGCTGAGACAGAAATATAATAACTTTTCATAAAAGCAAGGAAATCAGTTTAAACGGTTTACAAAAACTTGGGTGGAATTTTGTGAGTTTTATTGGGAGGGGGTAGACTAAGTTAAATTAAAAATGAAAAAACTACCTAGCCTGCCACCCTTCCCGGGGGTCGGGGAGGATGCAGCATCTGATGAGGAGTAAGAGGAGGACTGGCTGGGAACGGGGCTTTGTTCAGTTGTGCTCTTCCCTTGCTGGGCAGGAGGGACGGCAGGGGGTTCCCGCACCCTTTAGTCTGCATAGTCCTAGAGGAAGGTGAGTGCTGGTCGGGGGAGGGCTGCTGCACTTTGTTCTATGCTGATTCGAAGATGCGATGGTTTTAAACCTCGGACATGCCTTTCATAATGCCATCACAAAATTGTTAGCACTTAAACATGTTACATAAAACACTGGTCCTTCTTATACTTGATAGTTTTCAATTAAGCACAAGCATCTGTTCGTGGAAGGCAAACATGGATTAATAACTTGGGAATTAGCGCATTTATGAGAAGCTTGAATGAATTACTAAGAAAGTATCTCCAGGCGATCACTGATTTTTGTTTTGTTTTAGTTAAAATTGCTTGGGATTCATTGAACTGTTTGAATCTGTAAATTTATTTCATGCACCAGGCTTGGAAAAGGTTGGCTGTTTTTTCTCTCCTCCCTTCCCTCCTTCAGGGACCTTGCCTGTTAGAGCTGTCGCGTCCTCAATCAGCAGGCCCTGCCGGTCTCACCGCTGTCTTGCCCAGCACTTCATTTTTGTCCCTCAGAATGCCTAATTCTTTGTGATGGTGCTGGGGCCTGCTGGCTTTCCCCTCTGCTATCTCCATTCTCACAACCTGAACCTAGCCAATGAGATTTTCCTTTCAGTTTTTATATTTTTGGGTTCAAAATTTCAATTCAGTTCCTTTTTTTTTTTAATCTTGTAGCTTGTTTTCTCTGTTGAGAATGCTACTGTCTCTAACTCCCTTTATCTTTACTTTGTGGAATAGTGAAACAAAGTACTTTCAAGTCCTCGAGTCCCCAAATTTGGGCTACTTTGGGGTGGGATCACATTTTCCTGTTTTGTTTTATTATGTCAAGTAACTTTGTATTATATTCTGGACATCATAACTATTACAGTGTGCATACTTTGGATCCTGTTTTGGTGGCTTTCCAGAATCTGAGGGTTGGTTTATTTTTCAGTAGCCATCACCATTGGTTGGGTTCAGGTGGCATGCTCTGCCTTGCCTTGGGTGGTGGTTGCAGCATCGCTCACTTTGTGGAGCCTTTCTGTACTGCTTTCTTCGGGGGGTGGGGGGTGTGAGACGGGACCCTTGCCGTCCACTCCAGTCAGTGGGATCTCCATCTTTAGTTTCCTGCTTTCTTTCCTGGCCCTTTGGTCAGGAAGATGGGATCTTGTTTGGCTTTCTACCCTGTCACACAGTTCTTATAGTAGGGCAAGGCTGCAAGAGGGACAAAGGGAACATGAGGACCCTGGGCTTGGGGCTCCTTCCTGGTCCGTCAGCTTGGGGTCATCAGGTAAGGCGCTTCTGTCTTTTAAGTTTTGGTGGCTATCGGCATGGGAGAGGCAGTTGTGGGCTTATTCCACTCTGGCCAGGGTCAGAGCAATTTATTTTAAATGGTTTGGATAAAAACCAGTCAGTGGTCTTGGGCTGTGTTAGGTAAGGCCCCTTAATCTGTGGCTCTGGGCCTTCTCTGTGACCTGCCTGCTGTCCGCAGTGTCTGTGCTCTGTTGGGATGCTCAGCACAGGAGCTGGTATGCAAGCAGGTCCCACAGCTGCCCTCCCGCCCCCGTGCTCTGAAATGTTTGTTTTCAATAGTTGCATTGAGACAGAATTCACATATAGTCACCCATTTAAGCTTAATTTAGTGTTAGTAAGTTGACAACATTGTACAGCCATCGTCAGAGTTGATTTTAGACCATTTTCATCAGTGCAGAGAAACCGCAGCTTGTGAGCGGTCCTCTGCTTCCTCCAGCCCCCCAGCACTGAGTAACCACTAACCCACTGTGGCAGATGACCTTTAAACATTTTCGGGGTAATCCTGTATTGTGCCGTATACCAGTATTTCATTCTGTTGCCTGCTAAGACCACTGATTGTTCATCCATTCTGCAGTAAATGGACATTCTCCATACAAAGTTGTTCCCATCATTTATCATGAATAATGTTGTTACCATTCATTTGTATGTAGTTGTGTATATAGATGTTTTTTAATCTCTTGGCTAAGAATACTTGAGTAGAATTGCTGGCTTATATGGTAATTTTATGTTTACTGGTTCAAGAATTGCTAGAGTCATCTTAAGTGGCTGCATGTGACAGTCCCACCACCACTTAGTTGTCTGTGACTGCCATCCTAATATGAAGTGCAGCTTCACTGTGATTTTGCTCTGCGTCTCCCTGATGGCTGGTGGTGTTGGACATCATGCTGTGTTTATTTCCCAGTTGTCTGTCATCTTTGGAAGGTGTTTATCCAAATTGTTAGTCCATTTTTAATTGGGTTGTCTTTACTGTTACTAGTATAGTTTTTATAGAAGTTTTTCTGCATTATATATAGTTTTTTACCTAGTTTTTTTTTCTGCATGCAAGTCCTTGTCACGTATGAGTTTGCAAATATTTTATCATTCTGTGGGTGCCTTTCCACTCTAAGATTTACTTATTTATGTGAAAGAGAAGAGCAAGCGAGCAAAGGATCT